TCTTTAACTTCCCTTTTCACTCCATTTTAATCTTCTCGATCTGTCTTTTATCTCTGATATTAATAGAATCATATTGTGTGTCTGATTGTACAGAGTGTTGTAGAAGATGCAAATTATGATAGCAAAATGACAGCTGTTCCCATGGAAGCATACTCTGAACTGGCTTTGAAGATATTAAGGTATCTGAGAATACCCCTATTTTTGTACTCTCAGCTTTTCTCATGGGCATCTTCTGCATTCAATTCATAAATGAAGGAATTTAAAAATAAGTCCTGCATTTAATACCTGCATTGTGTTATTGTGGCTAACATTCAGAAATGTCAGCTGATAACAGCTAAAAGGAGAACACTGGGCAAGCTGTTGAGATTAATCAAATGCCAGGTCTTTAAGAAGAACTGAGAAAGCAGCACATGTCGGTTTGTAGAGCTCTGCATGAGTGTGACCGTAGGGTATGTTCATCAGAGCCGGGAAACTTTACCCAGTATCCACTGGCTCAGGAACTAAGCTTATACACCAGCCCCATGCCATACCCCCTCCTGAGTCCCAGCCCTGCCTGACAGCTCTCCTGGGGAGCAGATACCCCTCCAGGCCTTTTGCTTAGGTCCAGAGATCATGGTGTCCTGCTCTTTGCAGGCTGGACCTCAGGGCATGCTCCCTCCCCAAACACAAATTACATCAACTAACGCTGCCCCCCATCACTATCATCAATGGAGGCAGCTTGTCCCTCGCAAAACAGGAAATAAATGGATGAATGCTGCTGTCCCCCACCCCCAATACACTGACTCCTGGAGATCCTCCTGCCACGTCTTGCTTCATACTGCTCCCCCTATCGGGGTGGTGTCGGCAGATAGCCCCCTGAGACATGCAGAACTGTTCGGCCAGTGCTTCCTACCAGCAATGGCTTGCCTGATCCTCTGGACCACACCACCCACGCCCACCCTACCAGTGGTGGCAGCTGGGTCCAGATGCAGCCAGCCCCTCCCTCTCCTCAGCAGATCATAGTGACTCTCTAGATATAGTGCTTTCCTACCTGCCATCCCCAGGCTAACCGAGCGCCTCCCACCCACCCAGCAGCCCCGTGTTACTGGCCCCGTTGCAGAGGGAACTGACGCACAGAGGCTGCATGACTTGTGGTAGAGCAAGGAATTGAAGACAAGGTGTCCCCGGGTCTAGGCTGGTGCTCTAACCAGTGGACTAGCCGTCCTCTCTGGAGGGCAGCTCCCTGCAGACTCAGGCAGGTGGTACTGTATTGGGTTACGCTGTCATGTTTGCAAGGGGATTTTTGTCACAACTAGCAGGACTGGAATTTTTTTTTTAATGCTCACTGAGATTCTGCAGAAGTGGATGATATTTGCCCAGGAAAGTTCCTACTCATTACAGAGTCTAGGACTGGAAGGGACCTCGAGAGGTGATCTAGGCCAGTCCCCTGCACTCAAGGCAGGACTACATAATAACTAGACCATCCCTGACAGGTGTTTGTCTAACCTGCTCTTAACAACCTCCCATGCTAGAGATTCCACAACCTCCCTGGGCAATTTATTCCAGTGCTCAACCACTCTGACAGCTAGGAAGTTTTTCCTAACGTCCATCTTAAACTGCCCTTGCTGCAGTTTAAGCCCCTTGCTTCTTGTCCTGTCCTTGGAGGTTAAGGAGAATAATTGATCACCCTCCTCCTTGTAACAACCTTTTCTATGACTTGAAAACTGTTATCCTGTCACCCCTTACCACCACCACCGCCCACATCAGTCTTCTCTTCTCCAGACTAAACAAACCCAATTTTCCAATCCTCCCTCATAGGTCATGTTTTCTAGACCTTTCCTCATTTTCTCCAAGTTTTCTACATCTTCCCTAAAATGTGTCCAGAACTGGACACAATACTCCAGGTGAGGCCATGATGGGCAAGTGGGTTTTTCAAGCCCCGATGCCACCTAAGAAATAAGAAGAAAAATTTTCAATAAAACATTTTTTACCCTTCAGAAAAATGGGGCTTTATTAAAACAAAAATCTTCCAAGGGAAAAGACTGAGTGCAGCTGAATTCTCGGTTGGGAAAATTAACTCAAAATGAAATGCATCGATGTGTGAACATCAAAATGTTTTGATCAAAAACATCAAAACAAAATATTTTGATATTTCTCAGTAGATTTTTTCTGAACTTTTCATTCCAGCAACAGTTTCAACATTTCAACTTTTTGTCCCGACTTGGGATGTAAATAAATGTCAGTATCAGAATTTCAGGTGGGACAGAAATTCCATGCTTTGAACAGCTGTAGAAATAACAGAATTGCTCGACTTTTCACATTTCAAGAACAGCAACTGAGCAAACAAATTAGTAAAACTGTATAAATGGAGAAAGAAAAATGTGCCGAGTGTAAATTTCCAAGCCATGTACAAGAGATTTAAAATACAATTAAATATTGAGAGTGATCTTTCATTAATGATTTGTCACTAGTGCTTTTGCAAGTATGACTAATGAGGAGACTGCTTGCAAGAATAGAAAATCCATCATGCTCCTCATTAAAGATTTCCAAGGCACAGAATGGGTATGGAGCCACAGGGGGGCTAGCCTGATGACTATCATGGTGTGGATGATATCTGCAGCTGGTACAACTGCCAATTGTGTTGACAAAAGCAAAGAAAGAGCAAAGAAAGAAATGAAACACACACAATGGGCAGGGATCTTGTGCTAGAATTTTAAGCCACAAAAGTTGAAGCGTCCAGAGTGGTGAGAGAAGCTTTTACCCAAGTGGCTGGTCTAGCAATGCTGACAGTGGTGGAAAGTGACACGCAGCAGAATCAATGAACCCTACTACCCTTAAAAAAATTCACTCCATGCATCTGAAGAAGTGGGTTTTTTTACCCAGGAAAGCTCATGCCCCAATAAATCTGTTAGGCTTTAAGGTGCCACCGGACTCCTCATTGTCAGCTACCCCCTGATACTTTCCTACTATCCTTATGTTTGTATTGTCATGCCGTGTAGGAGCCCCAGTCAGAGCCCAGGACCCCGTGGTGCTAGGCGCTGTACAAACAGAACAGAGCTGGGCCCGGCCCCAAAGAGTTTACAGTCGAAGAGTCCTAGAAAGTAGCGGTGAAAACCGGTTCCATCATAGATCTCCCCGGAAGGGTTGTTCCCGCTAGCCAGCTGCCGGCGCGGGATAGCTCCCTGTGGCCTGTTTCTACTGCTGTGCCCGGCCCAGCCGGGTTTCTCAAGCAGTGGGGCTGCCGGCTATTCCGGTCTAACGGATTTCCACCGCCCGGCTGGGGAGCAGCCTGCCAGGCTCATTCTGGCCTCACAGGGGGTTGACATGGGTGTAATGCAGCTGGCTTCGGCAGAGTTTACCCTGATTTACACCGGCGTCTGGGCGTGAGCCAAAGCCCGTTGAAGCTAAGGGGAGTCATTTCACTGATTTCAGCGCCCTGTGGACCCTGGCCCCGGGAGCACCGTCATGTCTCGGTAGCATGGAGCCCTGCAGGCCCTTTTCCGTTCCGAGAGGACAGGCCGGGCACCTCGCCCAGGTGGGAGGCAGGTCCGTGTTTCGGAGCAGCCAGGGCAGCCAGCCCTACAGGTGAGCTGCACTGCAGATGTGAAATTAAAAGCCAGAGCTTTGCCTGTGTTTGACGAACAGGCCACGCAGGGCTAGAGCCCTGTTGGGGCCCGGAGATTAGCCAGGCACGGCGGCGGAGGTGGCCCACGGCTGTTGGTGAGAGCCGAGCTCTGGAGCTCACACTGGCTCTGCTCCAGGGCAGGGCAGGGCAGGGCGGGGGGGGGACACTGTCAGCTCCCCCAGCCCCGATTCCAGGCGGGACTTTCAGCGCCTGCCAAACCGAAGTGACACCAGCCGAGTGCGGAGAGCGAGCCCCCGGTTTTTGGGAGACTGCAGGGGGAGAACAATTAACCCGCATTAGACGGGGCTGGTTGCGGGTGCCCTTTGCAGCAGGAATTCCCGGGGGAAGGGAAATCCTTTGCAAGAGCCCCCCCGGCCGGGGCCGCCTGGGGGGGCAGCATGGAGCCTCCCCCCGGGCCAGAGCCGCGGGGAGGAAGAGCTGGTAGGAAAAGCAGCCGGATCGCTTCGCCCGGGGCCGGTGCGGGGCCGGGCTGCCTTTAGGACCGGGAGGGAGAGCTGCGCAGGGCGGTCAATCCCCGGCCAGCCTCGCCAGCGGCCGCCGCGGTTCTTCTCCTCAAACCTCCGCCGCTTCTGCGGGCAGCCGCCGCCTCCCTCCCTCCCCGCGGCTCCTCCCGGCGGGGCACCCGGCGCTCCGGCAGCAGGGGGGCGGCTGGCCCGCTCTGCCATGCGGGGCCGCCCTCGCCTCCTCCCCGCCAGTGCCGCGGCAGGCGCCCGCGGTGCAGCCAGGCTCCCCGCCGGCTCTGCCCTGCGCCCGCAGCCCGGCGCCGGGGCGCCTTAGCCCGCAGCCCGGCCTCCCGCGGGGCGCCGCCATGCGGGGCGCGGCGTGTGCGGGGCAGCTAGAGGCGGGTCACCTTGCGGACCAGGTGAGCGCCGCCCTCGCGGGAGGATGCACCGCAGCCCGCGGGGAGCAGGCGGGGGACGCGGGTCCGGGCGCGCCCCAGGGCTGCGCCCCGGCGGGGGCTGCGCGCTCGGGGGCGGCGGGGCAGCGCGCAGGCCGGGGCCGAAGGGAGGATCCCAGCCCCGCTCCCCGGGCGATGGAGCCTGTAACCGCCGGGCTGCCCCAGCTCTGGTGTGAGTGTATGGGGCGGGGGGGTTTGCACGTGCTGCTTCTGACTCCTGCCCCCCCTTGTCTCGGGGGCTCCCCGGGGCTCCCCTTGTAACGGGAGCGGCGCTGGGCTCCAGCGGTTTTGTTTTCACAGCGGAGGCGCCCAGGCTCTGAACTGCCCGGCCCAGGGGGGGCTCAGCCCTGGCACAAGCGCTGGGCCCCTCCCTCGGGGCCCCCGCCCCAGCTCTCTGCACCAAACCCGCCGGGGCTCGGGCTGCCGGCGGGGCGGCGCAGGGCGCAGCTTGGTCCCGAGCCGGCGCTGTCCCGGGGGAAGGTGCCCGCGATGCCCGGCCCGGTGCCCGGAACATGCAGGGCGCGGCGCGGCGCCCGGGGCGGACACGCCAGACTGTCCAGCTAAACACCCAGGGGAAGTTTGTCGGGGGGCTCCCTGCCTGGGGAGACGCGGCTCCCGGCTGCGGATCGCCCCTGCCAGCGGGGAGTGCGGTGGTGTCTGCCCCGGGGCTCAATGCACAACGGACCAGGTGTCCGGGAGGTGGCTGATTAAGGGGAAGGTGGAGCGGGCTTTGATCGTGTGAGCAGAGCGAGTGTTCCCAGGCTGCTGGGCAAGCAGAATAATTCTGCAAGAAGAAGAGATTTTCTCCTTCCGTTCGCAGGTAGGAACCGATTCCTTCGGGGGAGGGAAGCGGGTGGGTAAAGCCAGCCCCTGAGAGTCAGGAAATGTGGGTCTCTCCTGCCACCGATTGCTGTGTGATCTAGGGCAAGTCTGTTACCCTTTCGCTCCTCGGTTTCCTGTCGGTGACATGGGAATGCAGCTACCTGAGGTGTTGTCAGAAGGTAGGACAAGGGTTTGTAGGTATAGTTTATACTGTGTCGTCTGCAAAGCACGATTTGTTTGCAACAAAAACTGTAGCAATGAGGCGTGCAAAGGTATATCCAGTTGTATTTTCTTAATGGGCTCTGACTCCTAAGAATAAAAGTTAAAAAAAAAAAAAAGATAAACAACTAAGGATAAGTAAAGAAAGGGGAGGCAAGAAAGAACCTGTGAAAAATCTAAACTAACTTGAGGGGGTTAAACATTCAGTTCAAAAATGAGCTGTGAACCCCTCTGACACGGCATGAACAACCACTGAAAGATGCTTTGCTGGTCTTAAACCCAGGAAGATGTGCTCACTGGCATTTTCCAGGGGATTATTGTGGGTCCTAGGATGCAGCCAGGGTGAAGAATACACTTGTATCCATTCTGTATGAATTAGTTAGTGTTAATTATTGTTAATGAGTTGTCTACCTCAAACTAGCAGCCTTTGGAGCCTCTTCATACTAGTTGGAAGCTCAGCCGCGCCACAGGATAAATTAATTCTCATTTTACTGGTCAAGGTGACATTTTAGCCACAATTTTGTATCTACAGCTCGTGTGTGTGTTTATGGAAGATAAATGCATTTGTAATAAATTAAATCAAGCAAAAGAACATTGCATTCCTCCACCACCACCTACTTAATAAATCATACACAGAACTAAAGCTCTTAGTTACACAAATGCAGGTATAATGCAGTTGAACTGTATATCTGCAGCACATTCCATTTAACCTAATGAATTCGGCATTCAGTATTCCTAATGTTTTGGCTTCATAGGATGGTATCAGAAGGTGTCACATATTCTAGCAATGCCCACTAGTGCCGTGAAATGCTTCTCTTCCTTTCTATTATCGATTCCTATCTGCAGGCATTTATAACTCAGCCATAAATGTCTCAGTCCAGGACAGTGTTAAAACCAGTTTGATCTGCTCTTAAACTAAAACTGCAAAGCCAATGAGGGTTGCTGACTTCAGAATTTTTGTGTGCATCCTTGTTGTGTTTCTTTGGAAACAGGAATCGGGCAGGTCATGATTTTCATTGTGCCCGTGGGGGGAGAAAAAAACAAAGTGAAGTTTTAATATTAGAAATAACTAATAACTTTGGGTCAACCAAGATGCAATAAGTCTGTGTATATGCTTGGGTGTACGAACACACAGAATAAATAATACATCCTTTGGCCAAACTTCCCTAGGTGTAATTAACGCAGTGGAACCTTAGAGCTATTACAGTCTGTTCGGTGGTAATAAAACAAAAAGCCAGATCCTCAGCTGGCACAAATCAGTGTCGCTCGAGTGCTTTAGATGGGGTGGTGCGAAGGATCTGGCCAGAAGGACTCAGCAAAGTGTGCTGAGTGTCATCGCAGCAGTGTTAGACGGCACTGGGTTTCACTGCACCTGCAAAGACTGCATTTCAAAATAGCAATGCAGTGCATGTGGGACGTCACTGTGTGCCTGCAGGACACAGGCCATTCTTGTACAGACCCCTCCTTGTCCCTATTGCATATATCTATGCATTAGCCTTTGTAAAGGTCCCTATTCCCCACACACATACCTGCAAAATTTCTTTAATTTATTTTTAAGCACTGAAGTCTCGATTCAACAAAGCGTTTGAGCGTGTGCTTAATTTGAAGTCGGGGGAGTTCAGCTTTGCTGAATTGGAGCACTGGGCCTGTTCCTTCTTCTCTTCCCAGAGAAACCTGCATAGTGGCTGCGAGCTTCACAGGATTCCTCGTGCATTTTCCACTAGATTGGTGGGTGGGTGGCTGGTGCTTGCCTGGCCCAGGGAAGAAGCAAGGGGTTATTCTCAAGGCCTGCAGAGATCTTAGGGGATCTTGCTGCTGACAGGGCTTCCCCTGCTTGCAGGTTCCCCCAGCACAGCTCCAAAGGGGGGTGCAGCCCTAAGATAGCATCGCTTTTTCGTGGGGTTCCCACTGGTTTGCAGGGGAGGACGATGTGCGCTTTGCTCCTGCCAGTCCCACCCACCATCTTCCCATGGCCCATCTTCCGAGCCGGGAACCCACCCAATTTTCATCCCGTCTGGGGGAAGGTGCGTAGGCCCTTGTTTTCTGCTCTCGTGGTGGGGTCTGCTAGGCTGGCTCCACGATAACTCTGGATTGGTGTCAGCTCTACTCGGCTTTCTAGGGCCCATTCCCGTGCTCAGTATAGGAGCTACAAAACATCCATAAAGGCTGATCCCAAGCCCAGCGGAATCCATGGAAAGCCTCTCATTGATTTCAGTGGGCTTCGGACCAGCCCCTGAATGCATTTACCTGTGCCTTATAGACTGTGCCCAGGCCCCACTCAACCTGACTCTGGTTAATTCTGTCTGTGTCCCATTCTCTTCGCTGCGTCCTCTCCTTGTGCCTCCCCTAGCTTGTCCTGTCACACTCCAGTTACAGCCCAGCCCCGTTTCAGTTCCTATTGCATGGCACGTTGGCACCATTGTCTCTTTCTGGCTCCGTAATTGCTTAAAAACCTGATAAAGCAAGCTCTGTTTTATTGCCCTGACTGTGTCAGCTTAATCTAATTCTCCTGTCCCTGATAGACTGATATTAGCTATTTTACTGTACCAGTGAATTGTTTCACTGGCAAAGTCAATTCATACATTTGTATTTTGCCAGTGAGGGAGCATTAATTCTGAATTGTCTCCCTGTTTTTCCATTGGCGCTTCCCATCCTCTGCTCTGTCCTTACCTGTATTACGGTAGAACCTAGCGGCCCCAGCTGAGATCAGGGTTTGCTAAGCCATTGTGCTAAGCTCTGTACATATGCAGTCATTATGCTGAAGAGCTTCCAGTCAAAATAGACAAGACAGAAATGGGGTGGGTGGGAGGGGAAACTGAGGCACAGAGGTGTGACATAACTGGGTGAAGGTCACAGAGCAGGTCAGTGGCGGAGAGATGAATAGAATCCAGGTCTCCTGTGTCCCAGTCCAGTTTCTAGAAACCTTGGCCCGTTCCGTGGGCCGGCTCTGTTACAAGTGACAGTGGATTTGCCTCTATAGGCTGCTTTGGAAAATGTAATTGAGAAAATAGTGTAAATTTGGAGACTCTTGGTAGGAGTTCACAGGACTGAGCCCGGCAGTCGTGCACAAGGCGTGAGGCCAGCTGTAGTGCAATAGCAGCCCCTAGAGCACCAATTGGAGAAGAGGCGGAAAGGTACCTCGCATATTAAATTGGCCTCTTTCTGTCGGCTTGTGGTTGACCTGCTGTGTATGTCATCTCTGAAGCAAACTGTGATCTTGCTCGGGGTGTCGTCTGATACGACATCATTCATTTAAATGCCTTGTCAATCAACCTAAACATTCTGGTCGAGTGGTTACCACAGACGTGATTACCCCGGAGAATTATCACCGTTGTCGTCTCAGTGTTCATGCCAGTTAAACAGATTGTGCGAGGTCACAGCTGATCCTGTACGATGGGGAACAGCCGCGACCACCCCCCCCCTTCTTCTAGAAGAGACCCAGGAGGAGACCCTTGATAACATGTGAGCCCTAACTTCTATTCATGGCAGTGGGTGGTAGACACCCAAATATCTCTGAGGACCTGGCCTCAATCTATCTCTGCCTCATTTCCCTATCTGCAAGATGGCAGTTAATAGCAATTCTTTTCTCCCATCCTTTGTCTTGTGTGTTTAGACTGTAAGGTCTTCGGTGCAGGGACGGATTTTTCCTGTGTGTTTGTACAGAGTATAGCGCTGTGGGCTCTGATCTCAGTGGTGCTATTGTAACACAAATCACAATAATAGTTAGAGAGGAGAGAAGCCCTGGTAACTCAGCCCTCAAGGTCTCAGGAGGGAAGTCCATCTCCAGTGGAACAATGTAAGTGCAGGGTAGTTCCATATTACTACTATCTGGCTCTTATCTAGCACTTCACATCATTAAATCTTGAAGTGCTTTGCAAAGGAGGTCAGTATTATAACCCCCATTTTACAGATGAGGAAACTGAGGCACAGGGCAGTGACATGACTTGCCCCCAGTCACTCAGCAGGCTACTGGCAGAGCCAGGAGTAGGAGCCAGGTCTCCTGAGTCCTCATCCAGTGCCCTAGCCACAGGGCCACACTGCTTCCCCTTTAAGCTGCTCAAATACTACAGTGATGGGTGCACTGGCATAGAGTAGAAGAAAGACAGCGGAGTTTCTTTGGGCCCTGCGTCAGTGTAAATGTGATCTGAATTTATCTCTCAGTGATATTGAGAAGTGCTGGGTATTGTGACGCTGCAGAGTTAAGGTTGCAACTGAATTGTCATTGAATGCCCAGTTCTGGCCCTTGCTAAAATCTACAGCAAGGGTCAGATTGGCCTTGAATGTGTGAGGTGAAGTCTTGGACCAAGGTAGAATTTTTCTACTTCATTTGACCTGTTTTCTGGTGTATGGGATGAATTCTTAATTATGCACAGAGGAGCCCGTGGAGTCACTTTGGATTTCTACTGCATTGAATGAGAGCAGCACTTTGTCCTTCCCTACAATTAAGAATTCAATTATCCACACCAGAGAACAGATGTATCTGCAGGCTCCAAAAGTGCAAGGCAGGGCAGTTTGCTTTCCTTCTGCTTGGCTAAGTGACCTCAGCTGCTGACTGCGAGGTTCCTTTCTGCAGGAAGACTCAGGTGTTCCTGGCCGTCCTGTGCATGGCCTCCTTCACACGAAGGACGGGTGTCCTGCCGGGTTTCAGAGTACATCAGTGCCTCGTGCTTGCCTCCGGTCTGGAAATCTGCTAATAGTGAATAAAGGAGGAGATCTCCAGGGGGGCAGACTCCGCTGTAGAGACTTAAGTGGGGCTCCCAGCGAAGTCAAAGGGGAAGG